TTTGGCTATTGAACATTACAATGCCCCCGGGAGCAATGACTTTGCTTTCATTCTGTCTACCCGAGCCGGTGGTCTTGGAATCAACCTTATGACGGCAGATACTGTAGTCTTGTTTGATTCAGACTGGAATCCTCAGGCTGATCTCCAAGCCATGGCCAGAGCGCACCGTATCGGACAGACGAGACCGGTCAGTGTGTATCGTCTGGTGTCGAAAGATACCGTAGAGGAAGAAGTGATTGAGAGAGCTCGAAATAAGCTTCTTCTCGAGTTTATCACAATCCAACGCGGTGTTACTGACAAGGAGGCGACAGAGATTCAGAACAAGATGGCTCGTAGTGGGATCTCGGTCAGCGAGCCAAACTCAACGGAGGATATCTCACGTATTCTCAAGCGTCGTGGCCAGAGGATGTTCGAGCAGACTGGTAACCAGGAAAAGCTTGAACAGCTTGACATCGACTCAGTACTCGCAAATGCGGAACTTCATCAGACCGAACAGGCCGAGGAAATCCAGGCTGACGGTGGCGAAGAGTTCCTTCGAGCCTTCGAATATGTTGACATCAAGGTGGACGATCTTAGTTGGGACGACATTATACCTAAAGAACAGCTAGAAGAGATAAAGGCAGAGGAGAAGAAGAAAGCCGACGAACGCTATCTTGCCGAAGTCATTGAGCAGAATCGACCTCGCAAGCGCAATGCACCGGGTGACGCACGGGATACCCGAGAAGAACGCAAAGCCAAAAGGTTAGCGAGAGCACAGGTCAGTATGGAGAATGGCGATGATTCCGATTCGAATGCTCAGTCGGACCCGAAACGACCGCTTGTGGAGAAAGAATATCGCCATCTTCTGCGTGCCTACCTTCGTTATGGAAATATGGTAGAACGTGAGGAGGATGTCGTTCGTGAGGCACGTCTCCTTGACCGTGATAGAGAGACGGTCAAGGCTGCTCTCCGCGAAATAACTGACAAGGCTGCCGATCTGGTTCGGGAAGACATAGAGAAACTCGAGGCCCTTGAACACGCCGGTAAGGTGCCGACGAAGAAAGAAAAGAAGGCGGTCTTGTTTGATCTCCATGGAGTCAAGCGTCTTAATGCGTACACTATTGTGGAACGTCCGACGGAAATGCGTATCTTGAAGGAGGCGACGGCCGCGGTGCCTGACTTCAAGAATTTCCGGATACCGGAAGCTACCAAAGCCGCGGATTATACGTGTCCATGGGGTGCGCGCGAAGACGGGATGCTGTGTATCGGTATTGCGCGGCACGGATATGGTGCCTGGACGCAGATCCGGGACGATCCCGACCTTGCCCTTGGCGATAAGTTCTTCCTTGAAGAGCACCGTGTCGAGAGGAAAAATGAACGTATGAATGCTGAGGACAAGACAACGAAGTCCCCAGGAGCCGTTCATCTTGTTCGTCGCGCAGACTATCTGTTATCTGTTCTTCGTGACAAAGCCACCAACGGTTCAAGTGTCAGCGCGAAGAGAGCTGTCGATAACCATCATCGGAACAACCGGAAAGGTTCCCGTACGCATGCCAGCAACAGCGTCTCAGCTTCACCGGCACCGTCTCTTTCTCGTAGAGGCCACCGGGAAACAGAACGTTCCAGGCATCGGTCTCATACCCACGGCGCCAGAGATAGTATTGAACGACACCACACTCCCAGTCACGACGCTCGACCCAGATCCGTGCATGAAGGGGAACGAAGCCGTCATAGAACCTCCGACGCGTCCAGTGAGGATATTCGGCGTCGTAAGCCTAATGAGAATGGCTACTCCGCCGGCAAAGAGGATATGGCTCGCTTGTTCTTCAAGCCCATTCGCGAGAATCTGAAGAAGGTGTCAGCCGTTACTAAAGAGAATTTTCCGAATAAGGCTGAACGGGCTACGGAGTTGAGACGTCTACTTGGCAAGGTCGGTGAATTTATCGGCCAGAATTTGAAGGGCCAGGGCTCCATGACGTCTTTGGAGACTCGTTTATGGTATGTCCAATGCAATCCGCCTTATGTTCCGAACAGAGTATACTGACTCTAACAACAGGCAATATGTTTCGGTACACTACTGGCCCAACAAAGATGCCGGAGGGGCTAAACTTCAAGAAATGTATCATAAACTGATCGCTGCCCGTAAGGAGGCTGCTGCTTCCAAGCCAGCCTCCAACGGAGAGTAGATGCCGGTTTCAAACCGCGGTATTTCTCAGCGAAAAGATGTCAAGGGTCTTGTTTTTTTTTCATGGAGTTCTTTTTGCTTCAATTCATGTTAAAAGGTACATATGCATCATTTGGGTTAGCATGGCGACGGCGTCTGGTATGATCTACGAATGAGTGTTGTGTGAGGTTGACCCATGAGTGGCCTTCTATGATGTTTGCATGCATGGCAGCTATTTCTTTGGCTCTTACGTCTTGCGGTTCCCCCGTATTTGGAGCATCGGGATTTGTGATGTGTTCACATATATCGTTTCCTTCTCTCTATCGCTCATCATTCGCTTCCCCCCATATACCTCCGGAATGATGAGCGTTCTTGTTGTTTCCATGATATCGAACCCGGGAAAGAAAAACCCACTGTTGCCTTGATTGTTTCTTAGCCCTTTTTCCCATACCACTTAAACCATCCGAGCAGGGCTCCTTATATTCTTCGAATTCATGTATCTTCTTTTCATACTATCAGCATCTTTGGGCTACTACTATTCTCTGGAGTTTAAATCCATTTTCTTCCATTCAAGCCTGGGAATATCCATCTTCTTGTTCTATTTTTGTATCGACGTGTCATTAGACCTCGATAACTAGTTGGGTTTCATTCACACCAACCGGAAAGAGTTGCTGGCTTATTATGTGTTGTGCTTCCCCCCATTGTTTAGGTCACGTCTTGAAGGCTACTACTTGCCATGCTTGTTCACGCGAAAAGAAAAGGAGGCGCGACGAGTCCTGGGTTCTTCTTTCTCTTCTCTTAGCGGAGTACAATTACACCACGTTTGAACAGCTATAAGGGGGTACATGCATGCAATACAACAAGATACTCAATTTTCGTTCTTTTTCGATGTGATTCATGCTATCAACACTGGAAAGAAAAAAAAAAGGAGAAAAGAAAGCGCCAATCCCATTTCGTAAGTTACAAACAGCAGACAGGTAGTAATAGTAGTAAAGACCAGGATATTTTGCGATAACGAAAGCGAAACGAAGCGAAACGAATTGAACTAATCCGGAATTGATCAAGTCCCTGCATGTCCCGTGACGTGGTAAACAATAGAGAGAAAAGGTGTATGATAAGGGGGAAAAGAATGGAATATGAGTAGTAGTGACACGTTTTTTTATCACAAGAGACGTGACGTGGCCCAATTCCGTAGCGAAGTCATTACCAGCAGCCCCAAGAAAGAAAATCCCAAAAAGAAGCCCCCAAAACAAGAAGGTAAAGTACAAGGGAAAAGAGGGGGAAAGAGCAATAGGAAAGGCAGGAGTGATTAAATCAAGAAGGATATATTAAATGACCACCACATTCAAGATCAACAATCGCATCATGGAGGAACAGATCCAGACCCCTGGTCTTGTGCAACATCCACCTCCATTGGCTGCTCCGACTGCGGCGGATTATCCGTCCCATTTGCCGGCGCAGACTTGGACACGCTGAATTTCTCATCAAGGAGCTTGAACAATCGTACCTCGGCCTCCATCAGATCATCGAAGATCGCCTCCTTCTCCATCCAAGATTCCTTTCTCTTGACGCGAATCTTTTCCCATGCGTCGCGTAGCTCCGCGCCATCCTGCTGTGCCCAATGGATCTGTCTCAGAAGCAACCGATACAGTTGCGGGCCTTCGAGCAGCATCTCGTAGGTGTCGAATTCCTTCTCCAACCCACCAGGAGGTACGTGAAGATCGTCCTCCAGTCCTGCGCCCTCCTCATTGGCACTTTCGCTATGATCTCCTGCATCGTCCTTCGGTGGAAACGATAGCTTCAGCTTCAATCGTTGGATCTTGCCAGACGGAGTCGCGGTCGGCGTTCCTGCCGCCGAAGCAGCGACATTGTGGTGTTTGGGTACGGGGTCGGAGGGACGAAGCGCCTCTGTTTCATGGACAGTTCTCATGTGTTTGGCAAGGGCATCTGATCGAGTGAAGCTGCGGTCGCATTCTATAGGCAAATATCAAGGAACAATGTTAGACGCTGCCAAGGGATACCAAGAAAGGAACTTATAACGGGGAAGGTCTGGGGAAACTTACCTGGTAGAGCGCAATAGAAGGGCTTTTCTCGCGTATGGCTTCTCATGTGTGCGCGCAGCGCGTAGCCACTTGCGTGCGTTTGGCCCTTTCGACTGCAATCGGACCATTCGCAGGAGTATTTCTTCTGTCGGCTCCCGACATGTTCTTCATGTATGTGCTTTACGAGACCGTCCATGTTGCCTAGGTCACCGGCGTCGCATCCATCCCAGCGACAGATGGTGACTTGATCGTTGCCTTGGCCGCTGTAGTCATCATCCTGACTGCCTCCGATGAGAGCGAGGGTGTTGGGAAAATTGGGAATGTCGCCGGAGGTATCGGACGAGATGGAGGTGGAGGGAGAAGGAGGAGGGAGGTCATCTTGGAAAGTGGTCGAGACGGGAGTATTGCGATCCCAAGAAGCAACACCAGTGCGACGACGCTTAGAGGGAGGCATGTTGGAGCCCGAGGGGGAGAAGCCTTGCTTTAGGTCGTCGCGATCCGACATGTCGTCGGAAGCAATGGAGGAGAGGGGGGAGCCCGGAGATTCCGTCATGGTGGTTGACAGGAGAGGGGGGCCCGCTTTCAGCAGAGTTGGAGAGTGAATGACGGAGAGAATTGAGCGACAGCTGTGGGCCTTTAGGAGTGTTACTGGCACTGGCCGGAGGAGTGAGCCCAGGTTTAGGATGTTTGGAAGTCGATATCCGGCGCCGGAGTATACACTGGGCTGAGCACCCGGCACGTGATGAGGCTATTGCGCCGCCAATTTTCTTCGCGTCCGAATTCCCTCTTCTTTTCTTCCCTTCTTTTACACCCAACTGGTCTTAGAGACTGGAAAATGCACACTGGAGACTTCACCTTGAGATCTAATGTGACTCGGTTCTCTCTCAGGGGTTACTTAAGCTACTTTTTAGCTAATTGTTCCTTGTTTTCGTGATCTGTTCAACAGATCCTGCCCACACAGTGTTGAGCAGGGTAAGTTGCCGCCAATTTCCTACCACTTTATTGTGTTTTGAATCTGCCGCAACTTCCATGATGAATTAATCAAGAATTCTGCAATCCTGACAATCTCCTCCTTTTTGTGAGATTGCATGTTGACTCTTCTACACTTGATCTGACCCTTCGTCTGTTTTGATTGTGTCCATGAAGCTTTCCACTTTTGCCTTGTCAACACAAGCTGACAGTTCTGGCTTATTCAGGATCATACTATCTCTCCTATACTATACCATATATATAGCAATGATATCATTTTCAGTATCAACAAACTACCAAATATACGCCGTGTGAATACCATACAACCGTAGCTTAGTAGCGAGCTCCGATCACCTGAATCCGGTCCAGAATACCCTTAAGCTCGTCCATCTCAGCATCACTAAGGCGAGGGACTCCCTCCAGGTTCTGAGTAACCTTGTCAACCGTCGTACCACCAGGAATGGGGATAATGGTGGGCATTCCCGGCTTGCCGCTCAGCGTGAGGATCCAAGCCAGGGCGATCTGGACAGGAGCCACGCCCTTCCGCGTCGCCAGGTCCTTGACCTCGTTGACCAGCTTGATATTCTCCTTCATGGCATCCTCCTGGAACTTGGGTAGCGTTCTACGGAAATCACCCTCAGGGATCTCAGACAGACTGGTGAAAGCACCCGCCAACACGCCCCGGCCCAAAGGCGAGTAAGCCACAACGGGGATGTTGAGCTCAGCGCAAACCTTAGCGACGTCATTGTTGAGGATCGTGGTATCAAAGAGGGATAATTCAACCTCTACCGCTGCGATCGGGTGGACCTTGTGACTGCGTGATCTCGTCAGCTGCCATTCTTTTTTCGTGTAACCAGCTTCTACAAGAGAATGAATGTGTGGTGTGTAGCAACGTACGCTCTGCGAATAGTCTCTGCATCGACTTCACTCAGACCAATACCTCCAATCTTGCCCTCCTTGACATATTGTGCCAGAGTGCTCACTTGCTGCTCCACCGGCACGTTGGGATCCTGTCTAGCGCACTCGAAGATATCGATCTTCTTCTTTCCGTCCAGCACGCGCAGACACTCCTCCACACTCCGGCGGATGTTGGCCTCGGAGCTATCGGGGGTAAGCTCTCCACGCTTCAAGCCACCCTTGATGCTCAGGACGACCTTCTCGGCGTTCTCGGGGTACTTGGTGAAGTACTTGTTCAGGAGGTGGCAGGAGTTGTAATCGGGCGTGCCGTAGAGCTCGCCGGCGTTCCAGAAGTTGGCTCCTAGCTTGAGAGTGGTGTTCAGGGTTTCGAAGCATTGCTCGAGAGAGGGAGGCTGAGGGACCCAGGTCATTCCTTTGATTTGACATCGTTATCGTCAGCTGCTGCAGAATATGGTGGCTGCGGGGTTGATCGTGTCCACATACTCATGGTTCCGTAGCCGGTAGGGCCGATTTCACGTCCGTTGAGGGAAGGCATTTTGCTGTGTATGTTGTAGCGATTGAGTATTTTGTGGTGTTCGATTCGAGGTTTAGATGTGTATAGCTCTTGAGACCACAATATGATGGTGTTGAAGAGCTGAGCTGAGCTTGAAAGTTTGGTTCGGTTTGCAGCCGCAATGCAGAGGGTCGATGAGGGGCTTTTATCTCTGCTTCCCCCACCTCAACATCAGTATTCGGATTTCCTCGGACATTGGCCTGGATCACCGCCCTTGACTCACAAAGGGGTGCAAGACCCGCTGATTGACTGTGAGTACAATTAGATTCGATGAGTTCTGTGGATCTGCCGCGGTATTAGCTATGGAGGCCGAGGGGGTCCTCCCGGATTTAGCTGGAGTTAAGGTCGTAGACCGACGGACGAAAGTTAAAACCACGAGAGCGTAGAATCAAATAGATGGACGGAGACCGAGAGACTCTGGGATCACCAAGTCAATTTCTACTTCAGGTACTAACTCATCATATAGCTTCCTTGCCATTGGACTTCGTCAATCGTGACACGCCGCTGAATACTTTTCAAACAAACAGGAGTATAGGAGACATCGGGACAACATCAAGACAGCAAACCACTCGCCAACCGAACCTTACAATTTCATGAAAATGGCGACAAATTAGGGAACGAGTATATATTCTTGTTGCTCAGTGCAGTGTATGCTCGTCACTGCTGTCCACAGCATCCTTGAAGGCGTCCTGTATGTTCTCCATCAAGGCCTTCACGAATCCGGAAGGGTCCGCTGCTGGGTTTGGAAGCCTGCCACCCTTACTACTCTTGCCGTCGTCAGAGTCTTTCTTGTTATCATTGGAGGTCGAGTCATCGGCAACCTTATCGGTATCCTTGTTTGTATCCTTCCCATTATCTGTCTCATCGTCATCCTCTTGATTGACATCGTTGTTTTGGGAGGTCACGGTCTTTGTAGGGCTGTTGCTGTCATCGATGACATCGGGCTCATTGTCCGACTTCCAGTGATTGAGTTTGGTCAAGTCGTGGAGCCCAATAGAGTCAAAGAGAGTGTCGATGAGATCGCTGTTCTCGTCGTCGGGAGTAGCGGCCTGAGGGATCATTCGCTGCGGCGAGAGAGTCAGCTAATATGGAGGGTGTGAGTACACAGACAAAATACTTACCGGGTCAGGAGATCTCGAACTCACCGCTCTCGATACATTGTGCTTGTTCGATGTAGGTACAGGATATGCGAGGGCGAGAGAAGAGAAGGTAAGGAATGTGAGGACCATGCAGGTCACTGATGGCGTCTTGGAGTGCATGATGCTGTAAAATGACCGTGCGACGTGTTGTTTGGAATGAAGAGGTCAAGTTTGAAAGGGTAATGGAGACTGGTGAAGTGCTTCAAGGAGTAGGTTTCAGGTGAAATAGGATTTGAGAGTTTGAAGAGATTATCGAGCCTAGATATACTTCTCCTCGTTGCCCCGGACCCCTGTGCGATGAGACTTCGCCGTCGTGCGGAATGGAAGGGCTGGATAGATGTCGCGGGGGGAATACCACGCGTTTTGCAAGATCGCGTCTCAAGATAAGGTCCAGCCATTAACAGGCTTTTGCACGCCACTCACTTCTCAGATTCTGGAAGATTGGTTGCTACTAGGAGGCAGTGTCCTTAGGCTAAGTTGATGCCACCATCGCTATCGCACGGAAACACCAACTAGTCCAAAGCTCATCTTCGCGATACTCCCATTGAAGAAGAGCAAAGTTGCCATTGTTTTATTCAGTTATCCAGGCCTGATCAATTGAGACAGTAGCATAGGCCCTAAATGGTAGGGGTGGACCGTCTCGCATTCCAGGGGCCTTGAGCATTCCAGCCCGGTTGCTTGCCTGACAGGGATAGGCTCGCCACATATCGATATGAGATCATCACAGGACAACTGAAATTGAATTCTGGGGAATGTATAATGTCTCTCGAGCACCGTACCTACTGGCTGGGAGGTGTTAGCGGAACGTTCATCCCGGCCACTCTAAGTCTGCAATGTGCACGCGTCGCGTCTATAGTAGACTTACGGATAAGATGCCAAACACTCGACAACAATGTATTATCTACTTCTGCAGCAGTCTCTCGGGTGGCATTGCCCCGAAAACGGAGTTGTCACTATCCAGCTCAGAGCATTGGGCCTGATCTTGACATGATATCTGTGTCGCACATCTGTGCCTGTCCAGTATGATTTATCCCCCTCCGCGCGGATAGCTTCATTGTTCGCTGGAAGCGTAACCAGGTCAACTACCTCAGCACTAGTACGAGTCTCCCTGTACTAAGGGCTCACGAGGTTGTCATAACTCTGCGCCTGCAAGATCTGGTCGCCACATAAGCACAAAGTCCCTCTCGAGGAGGGAACAAATGATTCAATGTGTTTCTACCGAGGACACAGTGCCGGGCCCGAGTCAGCTGTGCCTCAAGGCTTAACTTCGAACAGTATCGATATATTGTATCTTCAATGACTGAACTAGCAACAGGGGGACGAATTACAACGCTCGTTCATTGGTCTTGATGCGATGGAGGGGTAAGCTGAGGGTGGTGCTGGGGCGATGTCGAGATGGAGTAACTGGTGAGAACCCAGCAAGTCGCTCGTAATGTCTCACTATGATAAGGCCTCTAAGGGCAAACGTCAGCTGTCATCGGCACATAACAGTAACTGAGTGTCAGCTAAGTCAACTAACAAGTAACCAGACTCGATACTGCAAGTTTATGGTTGTGTCTGACAATAGGTGAAACATGCAGTTTGTCAAAGCCCCAGGCATATACATGTTATCTTCGCCTGATTTGGGCTGGCTGAGCGCCTACCAAGGTGCGTTGATTGGGCAGTCAACGTCATCCTTCAATTCGGAGAGACACGTAAGTGCGTCGTCGTTGGCCTGAGTTCTCTACCTAATAATGGGACAACATTGTTCAGCACCATGCAAGCAGTTAGTGAACAAGCATATGTCTTCTTCAATCCCGGATAGGTATTCCAGTCGTATCAAACGACAAGGCCACAAACACAGGGTCCAACACCCAGCAGACCAGAACGCAGACCCTGCCTGGGACCTGCTGCAAGAGGCCAAGCGAGCCAAGAGCCATAGTACGAATACAATCAGCCCATTTCCCACCTGCAAACGTATCCCCTTGACCACATGAACCAACCAACGCTCATGCAAAGCGCCTTCATTTCGGCATACGTGATCAGTCTCAAGCAGCAGTAGCAGCAGTAGCCGCCCCAAGGCACCCAATTCAAGGGTCCTGCCCCGTGGCTGCTTACTAGCCTACAAGCCTGACTCGCCGAGGGGTGGCGCCCGTTATACTTTGCTAGACGGCAGTCTGATCCTGTCACGCATATGTCCAGCGGCATTACTCGTCCACTACGACCGAGAAGGAATGATCTTCTCTGCAGGCTGCGCCGCTGTGTTTAGTTAGCCTTGATATGTTGGAGTAACTCCTCCGGTGTTGGCTGCGTAAGGCCTGCGGCAGCAGCATGGGCGACGCACGAGACCTCCACACTTACAGGGCGCTGATCGAGATCACTCAACGCAGAAGGTAACTCCGTCCACGACGAAGAAAGTGCTGGGCCTTGTGGGATTATGCGTGGAATAACCCGTCTATAATGGAGGTGCGTACACACATACGTAGTCAGGTCAATAGGAAAGCCAAGGGGGGAAGGGAATTCCGAAACGTCGGCTGCTCCTCCCCCTTCGTTTATGTCAAAACTCCCTCATCACGACATCTCTGACGGGATGAATGAATGGATGAGAAGACGCTACGTAGACATTTTCGGGGGGTTGTGTGCCTTTGCACCGCTTCATTTTGAGTTAACCCCGATGAAGGACACACTAGTTAGCAGGGGCAACAGGCAGAAAAATTTCGATGCCACGGTTCAGGACGCAAATGAGGCGAAAAAAATGAAAAATAAAATAAAATAAAAAGTTGAGGGAACCCTTAGATGAGGTGCGCCCCAATAGCTACGGAGGAGCATCCCCGCTTCCATCTTGAATTTCTTCGTTCTTTTACATATCTATACTAGTCTAGTAGTTGAGAGCCCTAAGCAATTGCTCGGCGACGCTAGGCTGGCCCCACTGGGCACCGGAGTATTCGTATACACCTAGGAGTACGTATTAAGGTGTCAAGGGAAATGATTCAAGACGGAGGGTCACGGAATCAACGTGATTACGGGGCGGAGTAAACAATGAGATCGGAGTTATACATGGTATGAATTGTATTCTCAGTACGATCGTGGCCGTTCTGGGGTTACCAGGTACCATGGGATGGGCAGCATGGATTGTGTGTGTACCGTCTCATCAATGTAGATAAGAATCGATGAAGGAAAACAGGGTATCTTGGTTAGTTAGTGTTTGGTTCGACACCTGATCGGTCCCTAACTAACCGGTCTTTTTACCCCGTAGTTTGCGTGGCTTACGTATGTTTCCAGTCAACACCAGGTGATCTAGTCTGTCTAGTTGCTTCGTGTTGACCCTTTGTCCCTCTCTTTCTCTCTTTCTCTGACTCTCTAGCCTGAAGATAGTGGCATCGAATTGAGCCCTGAAAAGCATAGCTGAACCGGACCTTCAGCCAACAAGCCACCAGGCGACAGTCTAGAACAGAGGGGGAAAGCGATTAGACCTCAAACAGATTAGTCTCCGGCTAATTCATGCGTATCTGAGGACTAATCTAATTCTACGCGCGGCATGTCAAATCTCGGACCCCACTGAGTGACGTCTCTGCTTACGCAGCTGGCGTTGCTAGTAGTGGTGGTGAGGTGAATGGTGGGAAGTGTGGGCTGTGGATATGCCTCCGAGGTGGATTGTTTAGATAGAAAAGTAGTTAAGTTTAGTTGTTTTGTTGGACGGAGGAGACAAGGCGTTTTTGCATGGGCAATTGGAGTCGATATCGGCTAGGGTTAGTTTGAGTTAGTTGGATCCTGCATGTCACCACTTCTATGCTCAGACTACACTTTGATACAGTCTATCATAATAACACTATGCTTTCTGGACAGACAGTAACTGAATACATCCCAGCAATATCTCACTTAACTGACTCTGACTCTCCCACCCTTACACCAATCCCATCAATCCCCTTCCACTCCACCTGCTTTCTGCACGATAAACCAGAATGAACCCAACCCTTACTAGCGCGTAGCTAAGAAGGCCACTAGATAACAGCCCCACTCCACTCACTCACCAACAACAACCCTTTGTCCCTCCCTCTCTGTCTCTCTCTCCAATCAATCTTTGAAGTTAAATGGGCCTTGAGAGGAGAAAAGAGGAAAAAAAAGGGAAGAAAGTATATGCGTGTCCGGAGTAATCTTACTGCCTCGGAAAGGGTAAATTACCCGTTATGGTATTTAATACCGTAACCCACACACCCATCCACATCCACATCCATCCACCCTTCGTGAATCTTGTCTCATTCTAAAATTTCCCATTTCTCGGTTCCTGTCCCTTGGATGTGATGGATGGGTCACTTCCCCCTCGGATATCGACTACCGTAGCGAGCTTAGTCTGGCTCAGTACTACCTTGGTCCGCCGACACTTGCCCAGCTGCGGTTCCGAACTTTCTTTCCGGACCCTGAAGATCGCAAGGGTCAGGCGCTCGCTCTTGTCTCTCGCTGGCTGGAGTTTTTGAACGAGGAAGTTGTGTGCGTGTGTTGGTCCTGTTACTCAGCGGCATTGATGATCCGTACCAACATTCGGTAGTTGTTGGAACGGACCAGACAATTCCTCAGTCGAGCGAACTAGATATGTGTTTTCTTTCTCTCTATAATATCGTACTAGAAAATAAAGGGGGGTTTTTTTTTGTTTTCCTTATCGAATTTGCACCTGCTGTACAGCAATCAAGCGACCGACCCTACCCGACCGAACCCCCCTTATCACAGAAACCCCGAAAGATCCCTCCACCACCTCCCCTTCCAACCCGGGATTCCCGCAGTCGCTGTTTCACTCCAATCCCACCTTTTTAATTCAATTCCTTTGTCTTAAGTAAGAGCTCGCTTCAATGAACAGCTGGTCCGAAGCGAACTCTGAGACATTGCCTATAATAAACATCTACTAAAGATAGCTAGCTAGCTATCTTATTATCTTACCAGGCTAGCAGTAGGACCCTGTCTCTTCTTTTCTTAGATACGTCGTATCTTAGATTCAAGCCATGTCTCTGATTGTGTGCGAGTGCGTGAGAGTGGCGCACACACACACACACACACACACACACGCACCTGATTGTCCTGGCCTGGCCTGTCCATTTCTGCCTTAAGTTGCCTACGTATGTTTGCCCTCCGAAACTAAACTACTTCGATGTAAGTGGTGATTTAATTATAAAAAGGCGTATCATTTTAATGCCGGGATATCCGGGCTCATGTCTGATCGATTTCGATCGGTGAGAAGGAATTCCGTTTCCCCGATGACAGGAAATACATAGTAAACGAGAGCAAAAAAAAAAAAAGTTTGAAAATAAGCAAAGAAGATGCTTAGACATAACGCCGATTCTAGATCGTTATCTTCGCCCGAAGTAGCGAGACACAGCCAACGAGAAAGATATGGAGAATAGGGAAGAGAAGTCATCGTAAATCATACCAGAAACAGCAGAGATTGAAATACGAGTAAAACAACAAGGAAAAAAAACCCCTCTTCCAAGCTACTAGAAATCCCTGCATTGGTCTCTGGCACCGGTCGTTCTACCTTTCGCTGAGCAGTACCTAAGGGGGTCTAGTGTAGCCGGGAAAGGGTCCATAGGGCTCAAGCCACAGTAAGGTACTGACACTTGGCATGAGAGGAAAAAAACAAGGGTTCTTGCTCCATTTTGTGTTCAGTTTTTCGTTTTCGTTTATTTTTTCTCGCTTTGCTTTTCTTTGGTTTTCTCCGCGGATAAATAATTACCATGTTGAGGAAAAAGAAAATAAAAGTTACTTCACGGAGGGCGTCCGAGGGTTGATATGCCACGATCTGGGCTAGATTCGGCTTGGAAACATGAGAGCGATAAGAATAGCTTGTTGTTGACTTGTTGCTAGGGAGGACTAAACAGTGGTCGTTTCATACAGTGGGTGGTTTACGTCTCGTGAGGGGAAAGAGAAGAGAGGGGAGAGGAGGGTCCAGTGCATTGACAGTGTAGTTCCCTGGCTGGCGCAGACAGTGGCACCAACGCTGAGAGAGATCTTCACAACTCTTCAATTCTTGGGATGAATGCAATGCAGCCTGGGATCCCATTCAGCCCTAGTGACCCTCCTAGGAGGGGTTAACTAACTGAAAAGTAACTAACGTCTAGTAACAGACGACTGACGAAGCCACCACTATTATGCCACTGCATACGTATGCTCGCTTCTTGGTATTCTCCCTCCCCCTTCAACGGCGTGTACTCGATCGGGGACCAGAGAATATCTAGGTACTCTAGTTGTCTAGCACCTGAAGATGGACCCTCGCCAAGCCTGATCTAGCTAGTGGAGAAGCCGCTTACAAAGCAATTCTACGTCGTCAACCAGACGCGTCCCGTAATCTGCCAGATGATCTGCCATCGATTTGAGGGCTTCTTCGGTTGGCTCGGCAGCTGAGTCATTGGATCTGCCTCGTATCGGCACCCGTAAGTTTACTACTTTGGTAACTAGTTGTTCACATATCTCGTAGGTCATTGGTAGAGCTCGAAGATAGGCCGCGCGACCCTGATCTCCAAAATCAATGGATTCCTGTACGGTGCCTAGATAACTACTGTAACTAGTTGATGGTAGTCAATGCCAATAGCCAGCGTGGCGTACCGTATATCCAATCCGAACTCTCTGACTCGATGTGGCTTTATTGTCATCGACATTTTCCATGGTCTTGGGTTCCTGTAGGGACTCGTATAGCGCTGCGTTAGTCCAGCCACGTCCTCTGCCTCATTTCTTTCTCCATCCAGTACGTGCAGTATGGTTCCTGGCTGGGCTGCTCACTATCTATGGCGCTGATCTCGCTGCGTATAAGTACATCCGGTGTTATCTCTCTCTCTCTCTTTCTCCTGTCTCCGACGGAATAACGGAAGACGGAGTACCTACGGAGGAACGGACTGATGCATTAAGATTGCACAATTATCACCCCCCATTCACTCCGTAACTTGGCAGACTTGTCCACGCGACTAGACATAGCTCTGGCTGTGAACTGTGATCCCCAAATCTTGGCACTGCCTTCAACATGCCAGCCGAATCTCTCGGATAATTAAGCCGCCGTCGCTGTGGCTGCTGTCAGCGTGCATCTCCGAAGCAGAGCAGCATCAGTACCTTAGTAGAATCCACCTACCCACACAACAACTACAACAATGCTCACAACAACAGAATAGCATGATCCCCCCCAAACCACACATCACATCTACCTCATACACTTACCTTTCCCTTTCCCCTTCCCAACCTTCCAACCAACTATCGAGCAAGTATCTAACCCACCCGAACATTGCAACACGGCAGTACACTCAACCGGCCCTAACAGCCCACAATTACCCCCGACCTCCGATCTCCCTCCACAAGCCAAACAAGCATGATGCGCAAGCTTCCAAGCACCCATTGTAGGCATCAACATTTCCCTCCCTCTATCTGACCAATAGCGATCATCTCCGATGATGCAGGGTGGGAAAGAGTAAAAGAAGGGCCCATCAGCTCTTCCACAGCCCCTCCCCGCTTCCCCCCTCGGCACGTCAACCGCTTGGAATCGGGCTTTGCTCTTTTCGTCTTTTTTCTTTTCTTTTCTTTTCTTTTTTTGCTGTTGTTGTTGTTGCTGGCTTGACGTTATTCCTGTGACAACTTGACGCGTAGGATGATGGATCATAATTGCGGTTCGGAGTTCCACTACGTAAGTACTTATTTACGGAGTAGACTACTTGTTATTGTTGCTGTGCCTCATTTTGTTTTTTGTTCTGCCTGGTGAGGAGAGATGGAGACTAGTACTAATTGGTAGTTAGATGGAGAAATCTGATATTAAGTTACTTCATTTTGAGTTCATTATTCATATGGAGTACTTGTAGGTAAGTAACTGCTTATGAACTGTTAGGACAATAAGCAAGCAATTAGATAATGGAAGTAAATCAATCAATCCCCCCAGCCAGTACGTAAACACTGTCAAGGATTGATGGATGAGAATTCAGGGTCTCGCCAAGCTTTGCAGTACGTACTTACGAATGGGTCAAACGTCTTGTCGGAGGATACTGCCAAGCGAGGTCAGAAGGGTCAAAAGAAAGAAAGAAAAAAAAATCCAAGAAAGGAAAAGGGAAAAGAAAAAGCCACCCAGATAGAAATAAACCAATCGGATTTGTGTTGGAGGGGAGCGGGCGTAGTTGTCCACGTATGCAGAGAGGCTGGATTTGGGAGTGGAACTCCCTCTTGAAGGGGGTCATGTGTGAGTGAGTGAGAGGTGGGTTCATGGAAACGATTGATTGACGGATCAGAGATAGATACGCAAAGCTAAGACTTTTGCACTTTTGCTTAGCGTTATGGATCGTCTGAGATGGGGGAGGGGTCCGGAAGGGGAGGATAGATATCCAGGTGCCTGTTCTGATTATTGATTTGATCTCGATTTTGATTATTATTGATTCTAGTATCGCCATCATGATTGGTAAATTTTTATCCCCCGTGTGCCGCCCTCTTTTTGCCCCCTGGTTCAGGAGTAATTTTCAATGTCTATTGGAATTAATGGGAGCAGGATTCGGGTTTGTTGGGTGATATGAAGTCATGGTGGTTGGTGGTGATATCATGCTGCTTACTGTACACCGTATTGATGATGATGATGATGATGATGAGCCACTGGCAACTGCACTTCCATGTAACTGCTCCAATCTATTCATAGACAAAACCTGCAACAGCCAGGCGTTTGTGATGAAGGATAATTTTATCGTGTCTGTCGCTGCTAGTTTCCTATTATTGGCAAGCCCCCGGAGGGAGGATTGGTTGACCTGTGCCCCTCCTCATTTTCTGTGCTATTGGAATCGAAGCTATTTCGGGTCGGGTCCAAGTGGGACTATGCTATTGTGTTTTCCAGAACGTCGGGTTGAGTCGTTTGGCGGGTGGAATGTGGATGCTCGTGAATCTAACCACTCCTCAAAAAAGATGCTGAAAGCTTAGTACAAGGTACTAGTAAAATGAAAAAAAGGGACGGACCAGTTGATACGCGTCGCACATCACTCCCCGACTGAAAAAGAGCATAGGCTAAAGGGTGGAAAAAAACATACCATAAACCGGACCCCTCGGCCCTTTCTTCTCACCCCACAGTCCAATACATACCTCCTTTGTAGCTTACCTCCGACACCTCTCACACGCAGCCCCTGGTTGTCACAAGTCCGAGTCGCACGAAGCACCTCTCTAACTTACGGCCGAATACAGTCGGACAAAAATACCCGAAACGGGGTATGATCTGAGGCAAAAAGAAGGGACTCGTATTTCGCATTGCCACTTAGAGAACAAATCTTACATGGTGTATAGCATATGCGAAGCGCTTCTCCAACGGTTCCGATCCGATCCATCTTCGACCAGGGGAAAATCATGAGTAGAGACAAGGGAAAAAAAAAAAAAAAGGAAAATGAGTTGCCGCCCCTCATTCTCCTCACTGGCATCCCATGTCGGTAACGTAAGTACTACTAGCGTCAGGAAAATAACCACACACACCCTCCCATAGGCCCAATCATGGCTGAGTTCAGTCCCCCGTCCATGGAATCCATCACACCGTGGCTAAAAGCTTGTCCGTAAGCCTCTTCTGGGGATGCGGCCAGGGGCCACTTTACCTTTCCCGGCAGGGATCGCCATCGTTTTTCGCATGGCCGCACCGCACGAGCGAGGCGTCCTGGCGCGCGGCACTGCTTGATCTGTTCTATCCTAGTCCACGGTGTTCAGGTACAGGAGGCAGTAATTTTTCTTCCCCCCCCCCCTTGTCGGGGAATAGTTGATAGTTCTATTGATAGTTGAGTATACTAGATGGGTCTCTGCGAGGAATAATGCGTCAACCGTTGAGATAGTCAACAGCGTTTCAATCCCGATAATGCATTGACTTTCAAAAGAGTCATGTCATTGTAGCTGGACTGAGATAGAAAATTACGACATGTATGTCATATTATCGAGTAATCCTGACACGGCGCAGGAACTTCAGCAGGTGTTATTGAGTAGCCAGCCTACTTACTGTTTGTTCGGGAACCCTGGAAAGTCTATGTATGCATCTTTGCTTAGCGTCAGGAATGGAAGGATAATACGGAGTCGGGGATGGTTCTGGCCCTTTTCATTGGTGGGGAGAGGCAACAAACCCCCCAGTCTAAGGGACTTGGCCCTCCAGCGACCGGACCAGACTACTTCCGATTAGTCAAATTGATTCTTCCCTGTAGTTTTTTTCATTTTATTTATTATTTTCATTTTACTATTTGCTTTTTGGGGTTTCTGATTAATATCGCGGGTGGTTTTCTTTTTCTTATTTAATCGAGATATAATATAATAAAACACCATTTATTTCAACCCCGATACACTACCAACAACGGCTCATTTTATCTATCCTTTTTTCCTCTCTCTCCGCCCATCCAGCTGACGACAGGGACACGTACCAGTCAGGGATCTAGTCGGTTAGAATGATGACCGGTGGAAAAGGGCAGAGAGGGGCCATTGGGGCCCCTAATGGAGTCGTCAAGTTCCCTTTGTTGATGTGAAGAAAGTAGAAAAAATTGCCATTCGGATTTATTATGCAAAAAAGGAAAAAATTTTAAAAAAAAAATAAAAAATAAACGAAAAAAGGGTAATTCAAAATTACAATGACAGGGCGAAGCCAGTGATCCGCGTGGCTACTCGTGGTTCTGGTTCTACGAGACGGCCGAGCGAGCCTGAGGAACCTTTGGTACGGGGTTCCAGCCTGACTAAGGGCAGGAGGCCGCTAGTGCCAAATGAAGGATGTACTTCGGCTTTACTCCTGGTCTGATCTGATCTGCTCGGTTGAAGGCTTTTCTTTTTTCTTTGTGGCGATGATTATAAGTGTGGAAGATGAGGAAGGGAAGGGGGAGTGGGAAAGAATTTAACACTAGCATAGAGGATGTCTGTCATTGAGAGTGATTATCATCTACAGTAGTGATGGATGAAGAATTACCACTGAGATATGTAAGATGTAGGTAAGTAATATACTCAGTAAGTGATGACCGGAGATAGGTGTTATTGGCATAGACCCTGTGGTTCCTTCCGGTCAGGTTAGGGTCTTGCGTTGCTGGTCCAGTGTGAAGCCCTCGGGCTGGCAGCCTTTTTAGTCTTTCTGTGGCCCTCGAACGAACGAACCTGATACTCGGCCAGAGAACACAATAATACCATGAATGATGATGCCTATTTTCAGCTCCACTTCGGCGAACTAGCGTCGTGGACTCGCCCTCCCAGTCCACGGTGAACTTACCCACTAGCGAACTAACTCAACTGACTTTCCAGATGGCCAGAGCTTCGGGAGGGACCCTGGACGGGTTTCAAGATGCTTCTTTCTTAGTCCGCCGGGACTGGCAACGTACGGGCTTGTTCGTCACCTTTGCCTCTCCTGTCGCTTTTTAATATTCCTGCTTTGCCCTTCCCATTCGACTGTCTCTTTTTTATTTTTTTTTAACTCTTCCAATTCCCTCCTTTTTTTGACTTCTTAATATCTTCCAGTCAAATCCTATTTGCCATCCGATCCCAATCCTTCCATTCCTTTTCTTCATTCTCACCCACACCCCCCTCCCTCGCTTCTAGCCTCAAAAGCTTGGTCTGTCGTTCGGGTCCCTGCTGTCATACTTGCACTGCTCTCCTCCGATCCCCGATCTACCCTATCTATTATCTACCTACTTATCTACTACTCTCTTCCCCGATCATCCTCCCCCATCCGACCTCTTGTCTCTTCTCATCCACCATCCTCTCGCAACCATCACTCAACCTCATTCTTCATTGGATTTGTGTCTCATCTTCCAACTCGATACTTTTGTGGAAGATTGCTATTTGGCATCTTATTTGGTTCAATAGCCAAGAATTGAAAGACGGAAAAAAGAAAGAAGAATTTACTTGCTTTTTGCTGGTCCCTGCAATATCACTGGGCCAGTTTGCAATTGTCATTTAATTCGCTTCGTCTGCGGGTCCCACCTCGACGGCCTCTCAGTGGGTTGAAAGTCGGATCATCGGATCTTCTTGATCAGATCGACGGGGGAACTTGTTGAATACTTTCCTCCACCTTTACAGGGAAGTCAGACTGGTGACTCCTGGAGTTTTCTGTCGAGTCCTTGCCAAATCCCGTCTATCCGGAAGCCGGTTTTTAGGTCTAGCGGAGTGTTACACGAAAGTGAACAGGCAAACATTCTCGAAGATCCTTGGTGAGTACTTTAATCTCCTTTGATTTTTCTTTCTTGCTCCTTTTCCTCCCTACCTTTCCGCCTTGTCGATGGGGCTGCAGATGCTTGCGTTCTTTCGCCTGGTTTCTCATTCCGCCTCAGTGAGGGGAAGGGCAGCATCGTGCGGAGTTACACTCGGCAGAGGAAACAAGACTAACGATATTCCCAGCAGATTAGCATCATCTCAGTGTCAAGATGGCGAGCTGCAAAGCAAGTTTTGTGTCGATCTTGAACAACGACGACAACCCGGCCTTCACAGTCCGCTCAGCCCCCGGGCTATCTAAAAATCAAGCCACTTCGCCATATCCTTACCACTACGCACCCCAACAGTCGATCCCGGCTCCAGAATTCCGCTACCATCATGCCTATGTGAATTCTCCCTCAGTATCACCTGGCTTGGCACGGCTCCCATTCGACCCCGTGCCCGAACCCGTGCAGCCCACCTCTCCCGGCTCCTCGGACTGCTCCTACGACTACATGAGCAGCACCAGTGTTCGATCCCACTATCACCTTGGCCGCCAGGATACGAATGCCTATCGCCCGCTCTCTGAAAAGCGCATCAGCGGCAGCTCTGTTACTGAGCCTCCATCGCCCCAGCCTTCTGTCGGCAGTAACAAGGAATCTATGGCTGCCAAATCCGGAGTCCGGAAGAACAAGTACCCTTGTCCTTTTGCTGCCAGCCACGGCTGCTCTGCGACGTTTACGACATCCGGCCACGCCGCCCGCCACGGAAAGAAGCACACGGGGGAGAAGAGCGTCCACTGCCCCATCTGCAACAAGGCATTCACCCGGAAAGACAACATGAAGCAGCACATTCGCACGCACCGCACCCATTCCGAGGATATGCCTACGGCCATGACGACGGATCGGGATAGCGATGGCAGCAGTAGCTGGTCGACCCGGAGGAGCAACACATCGGCGTATGACCACCGGCGCTCCGTCAGCGGGACACAGATGGACGGGCCCTCGTATGATAGTGGTTCAACCCTGAACCCGATCTCCACAAGTCGGGCGTATGAGCCGATGTCCTCACGAGTATGACAAGTGAGCCAAGACGTGAACGGAACATGAACACAAAAGATTACCACGGGTTGATGTTTACTTATTTCCATTCTCTGGACATCTCTATTTCTACTCTTCATCTTTTCCCAATGGCGGGACAAAGCGTGTCCCATCGGAGCAACGGCGTTATACAGGAACTCAAAAAATAAGCGCCCTCAATCGGCGCAAAGAGTGGCTGCTGAGCGGCACTCTTTTGGTGTCACTGGTTGTTTCCTTCAGTCTGCCGTCAGAAGAATCGACGGTCAGATGCGGCACAGAACGGTTTTCCTCAAAATGGGAACCGGGTAGTGAAAGCTGTAACCGGCTTCTCAGAAGGGGATTGTTCCTTCTTATTTCCTCTGCTTTGTTTTTTTACGTCCGGGTCTGCATTCTGCTTTTTTGGTTGTTGTTGTCCCATAGCTGGACTGGATTCCCCCATTGCATTTGTCATATGTCTTGTCAGCGTGTATGTGTGCTTGGTTAGTCTGTGTGATGTGTTTTTTTCTTTTTGTATGCCACGAATACCTTTTGTTACTGATCCTATCATCTTGGGAGCGACGGCCGAACTTGACTTTTGAAATGTACATTAGAAGCTAGTATGAGAGTGTGTGGGATGTGATGGACAGGCATTAGTACCTGTCCTTCGGGATAATCCCAGATCAATATGATCAAGATGAGAAATCTTCACTACTTTATATCCAGTATGACTTTGTATGTCTTTCTGTCGGTTGATAGAACTGTTTTCTCTCGTTTTAGATGAGAATATCGGTGCCATGAATGGAGAGGGCCCCGCTGAACTATAGACCAGGAAGCGCGTGTATGTAATTTTGAATAAATCATCGTTCATCTACAATGTGCAATATCGACCAGTCAACTATGTACTCAACCCTGTCAACAAATATCTAGGATCTACAAGCAAGATATCCCATACACAAACAATCAAGTGTAACTATTATCCTTGGTATCGCGTTACGTCATCTACAGTGGCTATTAACTACAACTCCTATGCTTCACCTGGATGGCTATCTGGTACAAACAAATGTAATCAAAGTTTTTAGATACATTCAAAAAGTGAAAAATGAATATTAGGGTTTTATAGATATTTCAGGTATCAGTGGTGGGATCATGAGAACGGGACACGATCATCTTCTGGCCATTCGGCGAGAAAGCCACTGATCTCCTGACATACACACTCACTACTGCAAGCAGTCACCCTAATCGCTGAGGCCCTCTTGAAGCATAATATCATGAGCAAACTCCAACGTCGCCCGCATTGACGTTGTATCCGTGGCATATGTATCCTCCGTATAAATCCGACGCCCCGGCGTCCTGTTAAATCTCCGGTACCGCTGATCGAAGAAGCTCGCAGCAGCGGTCAAGTCTGTACCCGAACTATCATAATCAGTGAAGTGCATTGATGAAAGCGGTGATATAGGCAGCTTTCTCTCGAATATATCAATTTTATATAAGAAAAAGAATGATAGGCTTCTGCGAGAACCATGGATTGTTGATGGTTGAGTCGAATAGTAGCATGTCTTCGTGGGCACTGTTCTAGAGGGTACTTATCAGCAAGAAGCATTATGTAGCTTGTGAGATAGTATGTATGTGGTACTCATACAGCGTCTTGGTTTTCGATCAAATAATCATGGGAATTGGAAAGCGCTACTACAGATATCACATAATGAACTTGTTCTAGAGACTGTATCCATTTTCTTCTTTCGCTACGTTGTCCGCTCAGCTGGATTACTGTCCATGTTATTGGACCTACAATGAAGAAGGATTCAGAGAGTTCTGTTGACATTGCCCTTGTGGGCTGTGTCTGGAGGAGGTCCTGGTTGGTAGGAAGTCATTCATGCATGGCTAGTCTGTCGAGGGAGTTACAGAAGCTGATGGTAGTGGAATCTTTAGTATCGCTACATAATATATCAATCGGTCTCAATGACTCACTAAACAAACTGGTCTTTGTTAGGAATTTCAGTATTAGGTGTAACAGCCGCTTGAACACGCGGATCTTCCCAAAGGTTCTTCAAAGATTGATGGACAGTAGCTGTATCTGGTGATGCATTGAAGAGGCTGTGTATTTCCAATCTGGCAATCAGATTTGCGGATGACTAGAAGCCTTTTCAGTAAGACTAATGAATTGTTACTATCAGAAGTTTGTATTAATAGCTAACCTTTGCAGGCCCCGTATCGAAAACAACGTTGTCTCTCGCAATGCTCTCTAGCAAATACTGCCAAGCAGTAGTTAGACTTCTCAATATGAGTGTCCATGTCTGGAGACGCTCATCACTTGCCAATGACATCAGAGTAAATGATGCGCATCTGGGCTATTGTAGTCAATCTTCCAGACTCATTGCTACCTGTATATTGTGTCAGTGTAGTCTTACACATGTCTGTGTTTAACTGTTACCAAGCAGGGTTGTTTTCTTTACGTGGCTTGATTTTTTTTTTTTTTTTTTTTTTTTTTTTTTCGTAAGTTGAACTGCGAGTTTTAATAAATCGCCCGAAAGGGTATGTTTTTTTTTTTTTTTTTTTTTGTTCTTTTTTTTTTTTTTTTTTTTTTTTTTTTTCTGATGCCAGATACTCCTCGACATTTTTCTGGCGATTCAGCGTAATATAAGCTTCAGTGTCTGCCATCCCTGTGGATGCCTGGCCTCAGGGACGTCACAGCATAAGTCACCCATTTATGGTGACTTGAGTATGGTATATTATTGAGAGATTGTCTGTCACGGACATGCGGACATGCATATGGTTGGGGTAACTGTTATCAACACCCCGGTCAGGTGACGATGATCGTGTCAGATGATCATATATTTCAGCCTTGTCATATTTCTGGATCTATTGCGGATTGGATCAAATTTGTTTGCAGGCAATCTGATGTTCATCTTGTGTAGTACAGATCACTGTGTTTCCAGGTATGAACAATATAATCAACTTCCCATTGACACACGACCGTCCTTATATATATGTGTCCACGAGATTCCATGCCATTTTAGAACTTAAACTGAAAATAATAAAACGTAGAGAGTCAAGGCGTAAATGATGAAGTTATGGGTATCTCTTTTTGGTTACTCAGTTTTCTGAAAGAGGGTCTGGGATGACTAAACCTTATTTTGATTTCCACGGGTTCGATTTCCATGGTTTAGGTAGTAACTAGCCATATAGATATGTGGAGTATAGGCATGTACCTGAAGGTCACAGCAACTGCAGTTGACAATGGCAACAAAGATTAACACATAATTATTTTTTTATCGATCAGTATACTGGTGACTCTTGTTACAAGTATGAGTATGTGCAGAGGCCCTTGAGGAACGAGAAGCTGAGTCAGCGCGGGTGGGGGATGATGTCAGTCGACGATGCGGTGGTGGTTTGGTTTGGACCCTTGAATTTTGAATGCTGATGTTGATGTTATGACAGGATTGTGCGAGGTACATTAGCCATCCCCCATTCATCGGCTTAACAGATAGTAAGGTGAGTCTCCACTTTGCACAGATGTCATCATCCGACAAAACGGGTTTCAGTGTGCGGGTGCCCCGAAACACCGGCGGGACTCTCCTGTCACCAATGAATTGAAGGTGAGGCTGCACAAGCAGTGAAAGCCTATACTGCACTACCAAATCGTACCTGCCTTAAATGGGTGCATCTGCCCCTACGTCACGGGCGCTTGCCCCGCTGTCTCGCTCTTTCTCTCCCCAGTCGCCACTGCCATTTTTACTTCTTCTCGTCGTCTTCTTCTTCTTTCTTCTTCCCTTTCCACCTCAACATCACCTCCACTCTTCTTCTTCTTCTTCTTCTACTACTATCCTCCACTATCCCATTCAGCTTTCATCAATTCCTTTTCATAACACCACTCCCTTCATCCATCTAATGATCACCCCCATCTAGATCTTCGCTTCTCAACAGTCCCTTTAACCCGGACAATGACCCACTACGAAAGCCGTCAGTACGCCCGGCCTCCCGGCGGCTACAATCCTGACTACTACTATGGTGCCCCTCCTCATGGCACCGCTCGTCACCCAACAGATGTCGTCCGTCGTCGCGATGGCAGCGTTGATTCCTACGATGCCCCTCCGCGCGACTACCCGCCTGGCGATTATGGCTACGAATACGGCTACGGCATCCCCCCTCAGGCCAGACCGTCCCGTGTCTCCACCCTCTCGGAGGGGGTGCGCAGATCCCACTCTATGGGCCATCGTGATCCCTATTACGATGACTCGGACTACTACCGTCGATCCCACCGCCGTTCGAGGCGACATGATGACCGACGTATGTATCTCATGTCTCGGACAGATAACTCGCCAAAGAATACAAAGCTACTGAAAGTAAGTCGCCTGCTGACATACATTCGTAGGTGATCGCCCCAGATACTCCCGTTCTCCATCGGATAGCCGCTCTCCCCCAAGACGACGTCGCAAGTCCATCTCCGAGCAGGCCTTGGGTGCTCTAGGTCTGGGGTCACTCGCCTCATCTGGATCCCATCATCGCGAACATGATCGTGGTCGCTCACATACCCGGGATCGTAGGTCTTACTCCTACTCGCCCTCGCCCACCCGGGACAGAAGCCGCCACCGACGGGAGAAGAGTGAGCAGCGCATCGCCCAGGCTGTTCGAGCGGCTCTGGCTGCGGGGGCCATAGAGGCCTTCCGTGTTCGCAAGGACCCTGGCGAGTGGACCGGTGAAAAGGGCAAGCGCATCCTTACAGCTGCGATCACGGCCGGCGGTACCGATGGACTTGTGGACCGAGACCCGAAGAAACATTCCAAGCGCCATGTCGTCGAATCCACCCTGGCGGGTCTGGCTGCCAACCATTTCATCAACGGATCAAGATCCCGGTCGAGGTCTCGTGGCCGGGGTCGCTCGCAAAGCCAGGGTGGACTGAAGAATCTGGTTGCCACAGGGGCCCTGGCCGCGGCTGGGAAGGAGGCCTATGATCGTTTCCGATCCAAGTCTCGCCCTCGGAGTCGGAGCCGAGGCCGGGGCCGGTCCAGCTCTCGGGATAGCTACGACGACCGTCGCCCCCGCAAACGGAGCAAGAGTGTGACCGACTACATCAACCAAGGAATGGAAGCACTAGGCCTAGGACAAAAGGACAGCCGTGACAGGAGAGCTCATGGCGGCCGCTCGTCTCGTCGCGACGTCTATTCGGACGACGAGCTCTCGAGTGAGGACGAGCCCCGACAGCATCACAGCCCACGGCGCTCCAGACACTCTAGAGATGTGAGTCGACCTTTATCTACCGTCACCACCTCGACACGACCTTCCACACGCACCACACATAAAGGAATCGGCGAAGCTGGTCATGGTCGTGTCAACAGCCCTCATGGAGGTGGTCAATCCGAGGATTCTGATTCTGACCTGGGAAGCAGTACCGATGAAGAACACCAACGCAAAAAACTTACCCGGAAAACCCTAGTGAAATCCGGCCTGGCCGCGGTGGCCACCATCCACGCCGCACATAGTCTGCACGAAAGTATGGAAAAACACAAAAAACGAGCGGAGATGGTTCGCGAGGGTGAGCTTTCACCGGAAGAAGCCCGTCGTCTTCGGATCAAGGGTCAGGTAGGCGATGTAGCCAGCGTCGGTCTGGCCGCCCTGGGGATCAAAGGTGCAATCGGAGAATGGAAGCATGTGGAAGAAGCCCGCCGCGAGCGACATGAATTTGCGAAAAGCTGCGACGAACGACGAGAGCGCCGACACCGCCGTGTACAGAGCCAAGGACCGACGGCTCGACCGCCGCGGACCATATACCCTGACGAGATTGAGGAGCATCATCCATCGGAGTATGGATCAACATCAGATCTTCGATCCCGGTCTGTGGGACGATCGTCCAGAACGCCTGTCACACCATATGCTTAAAATGAAAGAAATGTAAAAATGAGCGATATTGAATTGCAGACATGTGCTATGATAACGATTGATGTTTGATGAACCTTTCCTTTTTATGCAAAGTTTGTTTTGTTATTCCTATGCAAATTGATAATATTCTTGTCTTTTGAATGTTCTTGACGTTCGCCAGTTAACTACTGATGTTGTATACGTACACGGTCTGCTTGTCTTCACATGCTTGTTACTTTGTCGATTACTTTGTCGATTATCCACCTATTTCTCTTTCGGTATAGCTGATTTTTCCAATGATTTACTGTAGCTTACAGATAGTATTACAGCACTGTTTCGATTTCATGGCTTCCAAGACATGCAATACAGTGATTACTTAGAAAGTGAACAGTAAAATGAACGGCATAATCCATTCACGGCATGCAGACATGCACGCATGCCCATAGAACTCTCAATGGGAGGCTATAGACCATCCCCTTTGCGCAGCAACAGACAGAATATTTACAAGATACACACACACACACACACACACACACACGCACACATGAGTAAGGAGATAAGTCAAGACAGCACAACACCGGGTATGATATCTCAAAAAAAGCAGACACACCTGCTAAATAGATGGGCAGGAATCGTCAACAGAACAACCAGAATATCAGACCATTGATCAATCAATCAAACAAGCAAGCGCAGAACCAAAACGAGACAGTAGTACTACTACATGCAAGATGACGATGGTAGGCGAGTAAGGAGAAGAATTGTGTCCTAGCACGAACAGGAACAGACGGACAGGCGCAGCAAGGAAGAGAGAGAACGGAACGCTCGATTCTTTTGCCAGCAGGATGGAAGCAAGACAAATGCAACAGATACGTTGATAAGCAAAGCGGTCAAGCAGGGGTGCGGGTACCCATTAGACAGGAGGAAACCTGGCAGAGAACATGTGGGAACAAGGGAGAAAGGAAACGGTCAAGCGCAGCTAGCTGTACATCCCAACGAGGTGGAGGGAACGAAACTTTTACAGAATGCATCTTCTGAGGGGTACCATGGAGGAGCCAGGCTAATGCAATGAAGGAATCAGGTCAGAGCGGTGGGTGATGGCGCAGAGATCAATGAGGGTAAATGAGCGTGAAAGAGTCCAGAGGCGACGTTTGGAGATGAGTGGCAGTCATGTGAGTCGGTCCAGAAGACGTTAGGGGGGCGCTCATCGATCGGCATTCAAGTTCAGCCAACTCATGTCCGAGTTGACATTAGTAGGATGGCGTGGCGGCATCGGTTCCACTTCTTCGGGTATAAGAACGCTTGAACCGCGTGTGTTGGTGCGAGACGGGTCGAGTGTTCGGTAGTCACTTTCGGATGGCACTGCTATTGAAGGCACATGCGTGCTGGGGTTGTAGAAACTTCTGCTGTAGGTACTACTGGGAGGCCGGTCCGCCCAGCTGCGCTGTGGCCAGGGCCCGTCACCCTCCAGCTCAGCACTCATCGACGAAGCGCTAGAGATGCGAGCTGACTGACTCTCTTGGATTGCAACAGGGCGACCCTCGGAGGAGATGATAGACGAGGCATGCTCCGTTGTGGGGCTACCGCTTATTACCTGTCCTAGAGGCTTTGGCTCATCCAAGAAGCCAAAATCCAGGGGTGTGAGAGTCTTCATCTGCCATGCGGCGCCTTTCGGCTGCGGCTTGGCAGACGATGCGCCCGATGGGGGCTGGAGAGTTTGGGATTGCATTCCAACCAAGCTTGTTGCACTGTTGTCTTGGAAGTAGCGACTCCACCCTTCGTTGGTTCTCCGGTCCCCTGGGCGACCCCCGGAGGTGGAGTTCTGAGCCTCGATCTCTTTATCAAAGGCAGCACTCGAGTACACACTAGGTGACGAGGCTTCTCCGGTGGAATGAATGGTCGTCAGAGGGCTCGACTTCAGCGGAGTCGAGTTCTGTGCAAAGGTAGGACGGGCACCAGCCGGCCTCGGGGTCTTCTCATCACCCACCTTGCCCGAGAAGATTGCAAGCGAGTCTACCGAGGAAGCTGCAAGCGGGACTGGGCTCTTGGCCATGGGGTACGCTGACTGGGTCAATGGCTCCACACCCTGGTCCTGGAAACTGAGCCGATCTTTGTCGCTTTCGCCTCGGGCTTTCTTCATATTCTGCTTCTTACGTTTGATAAGCAGGAGAATGATCACCAGGATAGCGGCGACACCCAGGATCGCTCCCAGGGTGGCGCCGACTATGGTGCCGACATCGCTGCTGGACGAGCCGCCGGCGCCGGCGCTGGAGGATGCGCTGGAGGTCGACGTTGCTGTGGATGTAGATGCCGTCGTTGTGGATGACCCGAGAATCTGCTGCCGGCTCTCGTCACCGTAGAACAATTTGGTAGCGTTGACCCAGCTGTTGGCGGTTTGGTTGAAGATGGCCAAGGAGTCCGTGCCACTGCCACTAGAGATCACTACCAACCCATCCTCCCCCTGAGCTAGGGAGTAGTTCTGCCGTGTTGTGGACTGCGCTAGGCTACTATCGTAGGTCGGGTAACTGCTGAGGGTAACTTCTCTCTTCCGTTTGCGTGACGAGGATGAACTGATGGCGGTAGCAGGGTTCTGCTCCTTCCCGGACGAATTCACCAACACCACGCTCGAGACCGTGTTGGGCGCAACGTCCATGTCGAACTCCTCCAGCACCTTGCTTCCGTCGGATCCTTCAAGAATGGCGCACTGCACGCCACTGGATAGCGACTGGGACAGTGTCACGTTGGATCCATACCAGCCCGCAGTCGGGTTGAATAGGTGCACTTTCTTTGGGGTTGTGGTACCGCCAACCAACGCCGCCTCGCGATCATTCCATGGCAACAGAACCGGGTTGACGGCCGGTGACGCTTCCGTCGCATTGTGGGCCGCAATGGAGTAAGGCGATACGGTACTGAGAACGTATGTGTCGGAAGATGCAACAGTTTCGTCGGTCTGGTGGCCACCATAGACCAGAATAGAGGAAGAATTCGACAGGTAGACGGCCTTGTGGTGAGTACGGTTCCCCATGACCGATTGCGGGGGTTGAATGGTGGTCCACGTCTTGTCTTGAAACGAGTATCGCTGCAAGCCCGGTTGACTCGACGAGCCGGATCCGCCAATGACATAGAGGGATTGCTTGGTCTCATCGCCGTCTGTGCCACCGATTACACACGCTGCGTCTGAGACAGCCTCACCCATGGTCAATTGGGTCCAGTTTCCATTGCGCTCGAGGGGTATCGATAGAAAGCCATTAGCGGAGTAGGTGTAGAGAGCGTTGTCGTATAGAGCAGAGCAGTGACCCTCCAAATCCACGGGAGGTTTCGGAACAAGCATGTCGAATGTGTCGGGGAAGGGAGAAAAGGGAAAAGTTCTTCGAATGTACCAGCCGAAGACGATCAGGAAACAACCAGCCGTCCGAGGTTCAGCACGTAGGCGTTAGGACGGAGAAGGGATGAAGAATGACTGCCGGAGCACTATCGCATGATCGACACGGTAGAGGATCGTGTGCTTAGGTGCAGAGAGCAACCGGGGGAGGCGATGATCGCGAGTCGGAGTCGTGATTTGGACAATGTATGATTTGAGAGCGAGCGAGAGAGGGCGATATCTGAAGGGGATTGTCCCGGTAGAGCACAGAAGGGCGATGGTAGATATGGAATTCCAGAATATCGATCTGCTTGAGAAAATGGGGAAAACTTGGAGTGGTGAAAAAAACGAACGACGACCTGGCAATGAGTGTGTCAATTGGGAAGGTTAGGTTTTAGGGGGTATGTTTGCGAAGGGAAAACGATGGACGGAGTGCGCGATATCAAATCGGCAGCAAACGTGGAAAAAGAACGAAAGGAAAGAGACGGCGAGGAAGGAGACCAAATGCCAGACCGAGTCAGGCAGAGAAGGAAGCGAAAAGCCAGCAAACGGAGGGGATGGGATGGGAGGAGAGGGACGAGGGCATCAGGAGAGGTCGAGAGAGGGATTTGGATGGGGGGGCGTGGGAGAGGGTGGAGGGTGAAACGCCGGCGGGCAGCTTAGACCAGCACTAGGGAGGGCAGCCGAGAAACTCACCCTTTTCGCTGGTGGAGAGTCAGTGAGCCGAGCAGAACAGGGGGGGGGGGGTGGAAGGATACAACAAAAAAGCAGAGAACGAGCGTAAAACGAAGGAAGTAGAGAGAACACGAGTGCACAGCACGTTTAGGAGGATGAAGGAAAAGAAAGAAGGAGGAGGAGGAAGAAGAAGGAAGGGAGAGAGTGTGAAGGGAAGTGAGAGTGTGAGAGAATCAGAATGGAAGGAGCGAAAAAGGAGGAGGCGGCGATGGGAAGAATTGGGAAGGAGCGACCACCACTTCGTTAGTTAGTTAGTCCACCATCTAAAAAACATCTGTGCTGACGGCCATTGACTTGAATTGAAAGTAATTCAATTCTTCTTTCATTTAATCAAAAACTAGTTACTAATTGTCGATAATAGCTACGACTCTTCTTGCGCACTTACTCCCCAAATGCTACACGAAACAATCATCTGTTTGACATGAGTCGCGCGACCGAGGAGGGACAGAAGAGGAGGAGGGGGAGGGAATGTACCTGCATGAAGCTGCAAGGCTGGTCAAGAAAACTTCCCCCTCCCTCTCTTCCCCCCCCCCCCCAACCACCCTTGTCACTGCAGGCAGGCGTCAGGACGTGCCAACAATCATCCTAAATCTATACCAGTAGTTGGTCCATTTGTTTTTTACTGGTTACTAAATTAGGTCATGCAGGTTTGCAGCAAGTGACCCCTTCCTTGGGCCCCCAATGTCATCCTGTCGCGAGAATTGGACCCTTGGGTCTTGCATCCATGGTACTCAAGGCTGACTGAAGACGATGATGATCAGAGGAGGGAGGGAAGGAAAAGGTAATTGATCCCAATGATGAAATTGGGAGGAAGAAGAAAAGTTCCCGAATCTTCACAATCGCATCGGGCCAAAAAATGGTGCTGCCTTGCTCGGAAGTAATAAAGATCATGTCGACACTCGACAGAACGTGCGAAAGGAGAAAAGCAATTAACGGCAAGTCTCCACAATAATTATTGGTGCTGACCCCCGTCATCTTCCTTGGGGTAAATAGATAGGTAATAGTAAATAGTATCCGATGGGGGGAGGAGTATCCAGTATCCTAAGTCAGCATTATCCCTATCGAAGGAAAAGGGAACCAAATCCCATCCCAACCCATCCATGAATTCCCAAGGAGGTCACGATAGTTAGTTTAATGGTGGAGAGGAGATAATTGATGATGTATCATCCCTCGTGCGCCGACCGGGATCAACTGCCCGATTATTGGTCTGGTGGGACTAGTCAGGCACACCCGCCAACATTGGACGCAGGTACACTTAATACCACTGCAGTACTACTTACCTACAGTAAGTATTGACTGCAGACGGAGATATACTCCCGTGGCAAAAAGCCAATTTCCCACTTCATACCTTGCCGAACATCTCTCTCACACATCATCAGTCCCATCTATTTATAGGTCGGACCACCAGATACTTACTAGATAGTACTATCTAGTTACTTTTGTATGATCCCAAATTCCCACTGACTCGTGGCCGTTTCATCGGCCCCACTGAGAAGGCAACACATCGCTGATTGGTGGATTCTTCGGGGAACCTCAGGCACTTCAAACCAAGCCCGGACTGACGTAATCCCCTGGCATCAACAATTAACTAACCAACCAACCATTTAAGGACTAGATAGATATTTATCCCGATTGAGATGAGAAAAACCATCACAATTTATTGGGGTAAATCAATCATGATACTACTAGTTTGGGCAAGCGAGTAATGGTACTTGGTTCAGTACTACTCATCAGAATTGACAAGATGGAAGGCGAAGGGGCACAGAGGTAGGGATTGTACATTGGTTACCATCGCAAAATCGGGTGAATAAGAGTAGTTGAACAGTACTAAATATATCATCATCATCATCACCATCATCATCATAGTGCAGATGCTTCTTGAGTTATTATCACCATACATACTGTATAGTACTATCACCGGTTCGACTCCCTCATGCTTCCAGTAGTTTTATCGTGTCTTACTATTGATTACTTTTGCACCGGAGAAAAAAAAAAAAAAAAAAAAAAAAAAAAAAAAAAAAGATTCATATTGACAATCTGAGAAGTACAATCATGCTAGGAGAGAGTAACAATTGAACCCGAAATATGATAGTATAAATATTAGACATTAAGGGTGGGGGAATAAAAGAGGTGATATGATTTGAAAAGTAAATAAAAGAAATAGAGCAGAACTGCAAGAAAACTCCAGCAAAGGTCTTTCATAAGAATGATTCAACACATACCTGCTTACCACTTATCCCATACAGCCCGCAAACACACGAGAGACCTTGCCCCCCTTCTTTAAGTACCAGCGCGCTCACTCCATATTCTAGGTACCCTTTTTCTGGCCAACACCTTAAGTTTAGTATGGACTTTGATTTCCAGGTACCCCTTCACACAGAATGTCGCAGTGACAGAGACGCATTGATGCGAGTATACCCCGCCTCCAGCAGCAGGTTGTAGGGCACGTTCGTTGGTGGGTATGTCGGACATATTGCAGGTCAACCGGGCCAGTACGCGCGATTCTACAGTTGTGTAGTGCCAGAGTCAGTCCTGTAATTGATAGCATGACAGGACCTAACTTACTTTGGCCATCGCTAATTTTCAGAAAAAAACGGTTTGACAAGGGGCTCCCCGGGGCGACTATAAAGCTGAAACACAGCCTTGTAGGGTCTACCTTCCTCGTAGACACGGCCCTGGTGAGGAGTTAGCGAAGAGCACCTCATAACCCAGGAAAATAAATTACCTTGACCAAGATCTGATGTGGATAAGCGGGCATATCGGGCTCATTAATGAAATCTTGCAGACATATGCCGGGTTCCTCCCGTAACCCTGAGCACTCAATGAAATAACTTTTGTTACATGTCTGGTTCTTGGTGACAATGCCGCTCAGGCCCTTTCGCGCGGCACCGAGAGATGCAGATAGTTCGCTACCTCTGGATCAGCATGTAGTGCACATTAAGAGCTCTGAAACTTACGGTACTAGAGAATACAGGATACTAACAAATCCTGCATCCTTAAACCCCTGCGAGAACTTATCTCGCGCAAATTCAGAGCGCATCAGCCCCCCAGTCATCAACAGTTCCTGCAGAGTCAATTAGCTTAGAACTGGGGGAATCAATCAGGGCCTAGACGTCGATTTTGAAGTGCCCGCAGGTGGCTTTATCCACCTGGTCGTTCACATAATGGACGACTTGGCCGATGACGCGGTCAAAGAATGCTCGGATATCACTGTCGGACAAGATTATATGACCCCTCATGGAGTCATACCATTGCGACGTAAAGCAGTTCATCCGGAACATAAGACGATGGCTACTTCCGTCTCCAATGAACGCTTCCTTTAATATTTTGAGACGTTCTCTCCGATCCGGATCGTCATCGAACGGCGTTGTGAAGGAAGTGTTGAAGCGTTCCCTCATGAGTTTCAAGAACTCTCTGTCAATGATGCTACTCCCAGATTTGGGGCCTATGGTGGATATATTAGATCTTCGTTTGTATATAAACCGGCGGTATATATTCTTACCTATGGCACTGCTCAGTTCCGTGAGCGAATACGATGTTGCAGTTACATCGGTAATCATATAACAGGCAATGTCCTAGCTTCTTGTCAGAATTGAGCCGTTGAATAATCGCGCATATTCTACTCACAACCGTGCCGCCGCCCACATCGCACACGCAGAACGTGCTTCCGGACTATTGATATAAAATCTCATTAGCCAGGGATGTTCCTGAGGAGGATTAGGCATACACACGAACCTCTCTTTGTTTGTCAGAAGCCTCAAGAATGGATATCGCAGATGCCTCGCTCTCGGTAACAAGGCAAACTTCTTCATTTGGTTTACGGCCAAACCCGGCCAAGTGGATGGCCTCACTCATCCGCACTTGTGCATCGTTGGACCAGCCCGCCGGAATGGAAAACCAGTATTCCTTTCTGATGTTTGGTTGGCGAAAAATGGACGACTGTTCCAGGTGGTTACGGATCCCGCTAAGGTAGTCGGCGACGACACGCACGGCCGACTTTCCGGTTGGGAGTCGCATGAGTCGGAGCCCTGATACTCTCTCTAATTCCTCGTCCCGGAAATCTGTTGACTCCAGATCTGGGTCTAGAAGGAGTTTGGTCCACCGGAAAGTTTCAAGCTCGGGTGTAGCCTCAAGTCCCCATTGAGGTTGCAGACCGATTGGGTACTGCATTGTCGATGGCAGTTTGGCCCGGCATTGGATTGGCCATTCTTCCACTTGATAGATGGGCGAATCTATGCCTTGCCCGTCATTATCATGACCCCAAGCAGCGGCTGAGGTACGATTAGCCTCGTGCATGATGTATGAAAGTTGGGAACCGTCTACTCACCAGTACCCGTCGTACCGTAGTCGATAGCGCAGACTAATCTTGACCTGGTCTGTTGCATATCGCTACTGGTATAACCCAGAGCTCGCTAGTAGACCTTAGTGTGTAAAATTTACTGAATACCATATGACAAAAAGTCTTGAAAATGTTAAGTTTGAATTGGGAGCTGGGGTTGAGATGTGGAAGTTGAGGTATCGCAGACGCTCCAAAGGCATGCAAGAGGGGCAAATGAGGAGAAAGCAGAGATATGCCATCTTCCATGTATCCAATGCTGCCCAACATGCAAACCATCTGCCACCGAAGAGGGCAGGAGAGTGTCTCGGAGTAAATACTGACCGTCCCGAAAGATACGAGGCTGGCTGATCACTAGTCTGGAGGCCCCCCATACTTGATAGGCCTGTTCCCACTCGGCTGTCTCAGTGTAGAGAGAGTAAGAAGGGCGAGGGAGAATAGAGAGAATAGAGAGAATAGAGAGAATAGGAGAGAATAGGAGAGAAGTGAGTTACACCCGAAAGAATCTAGATGCTTGGCCTTGCGCGTTGGTTGTCAACGGGAAGAACGGGAAACAAAGCCACTGGACCTCTTTTCAAACCCTTGGTTTCATTGACACCCTCTCGTCGTCTCCCCGACTTTCTCAAATCAATTGCTTCTTCATTACCTCCTGCCCTTTCTTTCGTTCTCTTATCTTCTCATTCGACTGTCTTTCTCGGCTTTGCTTCTCTGCACAGTTCCGAGCCGCCCGACATGGATAAGAACTCTGTTCAGGTAAGAAACCTTTCGGACTCAGATTCACAGACTGTATTGTCAATTCTAGAATGAAGACATGGGACACACGCTAATTACACTCCTTTCATTTAGGAGGCATCCTCCCCCACCGTTGTCTACAGTAACTCCGACGATCATGTCTCAGAAGACGAAAGCTCTCCCCAGACTGAGAACGTCCAAGACCTCAAGGCCCAAGTTGCCTTTCTCCGGGACCAACTGGAGATTCTTCATGGAAAAGCTTCGCTCGAAATCGAATTGCAAATGAAGATGCTTACGGCCGGGGCCAAGGGCTGGTCAGACTTTGATTTCGAGGTGTTGGGGAATATGATCCGTCAGGTTATGTATCGCATAAAGCATTGGTGCCAACAGCATGTCCGGCAAGGTCTGCCCGATACCGCTGAAGTATCTGGCCTGGAAAAGCAAGCCATCATTCGTAGTCTAGAGGGCTATTGGGTTCAAGATGTGGAATGGGATACACTGAGGAAGTCTCTTCCTTACCCTCTCTCTGTGTGTATGTCGGAAGTGCTCGCTCAAACTATCTTGACAAAGAACATCGTGGAGAAGTTCTTTGTCAACCCATTTTGGTACCTCGAGGGAGAAGAATTCAATCAGCAGGATAAGGCGACGGGCTCTGTCTCATGTGCACAGAATCTGCAACATCTGTACCAACGATTCTTGGAAAGTGAGAGCTTCTTCCCACATGCTGCTATCCTCCTCTTCTTATGCTGACCAGAGCTGTAGCAAACGGCGTCAGAGCCACCATCTGGAAAAAGGAAACTGTTCGTCTCTCAAATTCGGTTATGCTAACCCAAGCACCCAATCTCGAGCTTGGTCGGCAGACAAAGGAATATCGCACAAAGGCTGTCGCTTTGTTCGCCTCCACACTACTTTCCGACCCTTTTTTCCAGAGATTACTAGAAAGTGTGGATTGCGAGGAAGCGAAGAAGCGAGAGAACAGTCTTATACGTATATGCCAATTTGCTGATGAGACCGCAATTACCCTCGGCTCCAATCAGGGGCATTGTCTGTATAAGACACTGGCGAGTGTGGGAACCACCTTCGATCCGAGATCGAATGAAGCGACACTCCATGAACTCTATACTGTCGGCGGAAATGCTGACGATGCCAGATTGGCTGGCCGTCGCATCTTAGGGATAACCCAGCCGGTTGTAATACTGAAGCTAAGAACTCTGAGGAGTCAAGAGAACGTGTTGAATAAAGCCGAGCTATTGGTGGAACATGGTGACTACACCGAGGAAGATCATGTGCGAGATCGACCAAAGCCTGCTGAAAATCCTGCTGAAGAGGTTGAGAAGGAAGAAGACTAAGTAAGGGAGGCGAATCAAGGATTGCGTCTGTAGTATCTTTCCATTACATGTTGCGTTGTTTAAAATTGCCCCAGACTGTCGAACGTTTTATACCGTGATTCTTCTTTATTTGGTGTTCCTCGCTTCATCACTCATTACAAGATATTCTCGTTAGGCACATTGCTTCTCATTTTTTTTTTTTTTTTTTTTTTTTTTTTTTTTTTTTTTTTTTTTTTTTTTTTTTTTTTTTTTTTTTTTTTTTTTTTTTTTTTTGGAGAAGCAATTATTAAGTCATTTATTATCTATCTGGTTCACAACAGTAGTACACTGGAATGAAGTCAAGTAGGGAGATTGACAGGATCAATGTCTCAAGCGCTATGCTGCTCGGTATTCACAAGATCCAAGAAGCCCTACTCAGAGCCTTCGACCTGTCCGAGGGCAACTACGCACTGCCGTTCTTATCCGCACACATGCACAGGGAAGAATATACCGAAAATGATATGCAAGTCATTCGATCACTACTAATAACCGAGCTCTCACAACAGATAGGAGGATAAATTTAAGCCTTTCTCTTTTTCTTCATTTCAAAAATGGACCTCTTCCAATCAATCATGGCATCCAACCTGCCGGTCAAGAGATTGCTCCTAAGGAGTTCTGGGACCAGCACCAGCGTTCCCTTAGTAAACCCCAGAGCCCCTTCCACGCACTTGGCCCATCCCCACCCCCATTCCCCCACCATTCCAAGATCTCTACGAATGGGGTATCGAGGAAGACACTGGCCTAGTTTCCTTCCTTCCGACCCTCCACCCCGTGGGTACTAACTGAGACATGCGGAATGAGGTACATGGGTCCGGAGTTATTTCCTGCCCTGATGGCCTTACTCCATAGGGTTCAAAGCAGTGTTGGTACCTCATCCTGTATATTCGGGCAGGGAGATGGCGCTGGAGAGATTGGATTGGTGGTTCAATGCTGGAGTTAATGATCGGAGTGGCAGTTCTCCGAATAGTCCGTTCTCACGGGGCAATGAAATAAGGGTTTGGGATCTTTTGTGGTATGCTCAAGCTGATAGGGTGGGAGAAGGAGGGGGGTCATTCGTATGGGAGAATTCTGGTGTGGGAAGTGGTAAGTGGGTTTGCCATTTGTTGTACATATACATTCCTCTTTCTCTCTCTCTCTATCTCTCTCTTCTCTCATATTAGAAGTCACTACTAACGCTCATTATGATGAATATAGGATGAAGCCCAACATGGACGGGTTTGTCTCTCCTCAATTTTCTTTCACTCTGTCAAAGATGTCCGGTCAGAAGCTGATAGCACTAGTACTGACTACAAATGTAGTCTTGGACTTGGTCTTGTGGCCACCCCATAAGCCCAATGATGGAGCTCCCTGTTTATTATACTCGTTACTTCTTTTGATAGGTGTTTTACATGGCAATTATTGAATAATCCTCGAAGATAAGAATTAGCTGCGAGACAACGGGAACGCACACCGAGAAGAAATCTATAGAGACTAGAAGTCGCCGTTTCTGCAGAAGAATGCCATATCGTTCGCATAACAGTAGGCTTTAGTGGAAATTATCTGAGATGATTCGGCCTCGTCCTTGTCATTCTTTGTCCTAAAGTCTCTTTAAGCATCATACCTCCCCCCTTCGATGCTGATGTGGATGTTTACTATCTGTTCCTTCAGCTCTTGGAAACAGACTCTGTTAAAAAGGGAATTCATTTATTTACGTATCAGCTTACTGGTAGAGAAGGAGGTACTTAAAGTAAAGTATGTTGATTTCAGGACTCAGACAACAAATTGGTTTACTCCATATTGGGTCCTGAATGATCTGATTATCACTCAAAGAAAGAAATATCCTCCAAAAGCAGTCTCACCATCCCTATATTAGAGATAAAAGAGAGAAAGAGAGAAAGAGAGAAAGAGAGAAAGAGAGAAAGAGAGAGAGAGAAAGAGAGAGAGAGAGAGAGAGAGAGAGAGAGAGAGAGAGAGAGAG